CGACACTTGAAGTATACTCTGTCCCCAGGATTATAATTGGGTTTAGTAACATTTGGCTTCATAGAGCTGTATCTCGGAGGAGCATCACAGGCATCTAGGAATAAGAGAATGAGAACATGAAAATGAAGTATTTTATCTCTTTCACCAACCAGGGACTATGGTTTCCCAGCAGACAGGTAATACAGAATAAATGGAAAGATCCTTGGCAAGATTTTAAATGATTCTTCCACGCTTTTACCCAAGTGGTGATAGTAGTTGAGGATGTGCCTTGCTTATTTTCAGTAACATCCTACTAGGTTTTGATTTGTTGGGGAATAAGATGAATTTTCTTTCAACAATAAATTGAACAAACAAAATCAATGGTTTAGGTCTTAACAATATTATGTAGATAAGCATCCTTTCCCACTTTTTTCTAAATTCATTTCAAAACTCGCCTCTCCTCTAAAAAGCCTTCTGTAGTACACAGCACTCTGCTCTGGTTACTCTTCCATAGTCTGAAACAAACTAATGATAATTTGTCACTTCAGGCTCAGTCTCCTCATTGCAGAAGACAAGTTTCTAGAGGTCAGAGATCATAGGTCTTCTTTTTCTACCGCACTCAGTACCCAGTGGGTACTTCAGAAATGCTAGAGTATCAAGTGATTATGAAATAGCATTATGTAGTTCATAGATCAAGATTAAAACGCACTAAAGTCTTTAATATAAGATTTCATTTCGGGGCGCCTGGGTGGCTCAGTCGTTGGGTGTCTGCCTTCGGCCCAGGTCATGGTCCCGGGGTCCTGGGATCGAGCCCTGCATTGGGCTCCCTGCTCTGTGGGAGGCCTGCTTCTCCCTCTCCCGCTCCCCCCGCTTGTGTTCCCTCTCTCTCTGTCAAATAAATAAAATCTTTAAAAAAAAAAAAAAGACTTCATTTCATACTTCATATGAGTGAACCAAGCTTCTCAAAAGTGAACAGATGCCACTTAAATATCAAAATTTAGTATGAACAGCCTTATAAGAAAAAATGTTGCTTTGGGGGGCATTATTTTAAATATAATTTCATCTTCCTCCACTGATCAATGGATCCCGCATTCCCTCAGCTAGAAATGCTATATAATTCCATGCTAGCTAGAAATGCATAACATCATTAGAAATCATGGAACCACCAAGAAAGAAATCAAGTAACAGCATGCCCCTGATTACGTAATACAAGTCTTCCTTGCATTCAATTTCAGTAACTATCTTGGAAGCAGATAAAGAAGATAGAATTCCAAATATGACTTTCATATATAGTGATCTGTTCGGAAAAAGAAATGTCAATTGCATGGTTTAACCATTCAACTAATTTGAAGTATTTCTTCTTCCTTGCATGCTCAATTTATAAGACATGCTTTAAAAAATGTGCAGAGTTTACAACTTGCTCTGTAACCTTTATACACTATGATAATTGCACCCAATATCACACTGTTTTACAATAAAATTGCTTCTCTTGCTCAGAACACTGATGTTTTTTTATCCTCTGGCTACCCTTCCTTCTATGCCTAATTCCATAATGTGATGTTCCTAATGGGGTGCTGTGGGAACTCTCGTTACTTCGTTCTGCACATCCCTCTGGGTGAGTGTGTATACTCTCATGATCTCGTTACCACTGAGAAGAGCTGCCTCCCGAATCCTGGTCTCTATGCTTGATCTCTAGCCAAGGTGCCGACTGTATATACTCAGTTGCCTCCCCACATACCCGACATGCTATCTATATAATATTTTGAAGCCAGAGTGTGCACTCTTGATTCTTCACACTCACACATGCCCAGCAAACAAGACAGATGGGTTCTTAAATTTTTAATTCTTGAATAATTAACAAGCAGTGTTATATTAGTTTTCAGGTGTACAATATAGTGATTCAAAAATTCTATATATTACTCAATAATCATCACAATAAATGTACTTTTAATCCCCTTCACCTATTTCGCCCATCCCCCTCCAACCTCCCCTCTGGTAACCACCAGTTTGTTCTCTAAATTTAAGAGTCTGTTTTCTAGTTTATCTTTTTTCTTTGCTCATTTGTTTTGTTTCTAAGAAGTTCCATATATGGGGGTGCCTGGGTGGCTCAGTTGGTTAAGCATCTGACTCTTGATTTCAGCTCAGGTCATGATCTCAGTATCATGAGATCGAGCCTTGCATCAGGCTCTGTGCTGAGTGTGGAGTCTGCCTGAGATTCTTAATTCCTCTCCCTCTGCCCCAACCCCTCCACTCGTGCTTTCTCTCTTAAAAAAAAAAAAAAAAAATTCCATTATGCACGTGAAATCATATGGCATTTGTCTTTCTCTTACTGACTTATTTCATGTGGCATTATATCCTCTAGATCCATCCATGTTGCTGCAAATGGCAAGATTCCATTCTTTTTCATGGCTAAGTCCACTGTGTGTGTGTGTGTGTGTGTGTGTGTGTGTGTGTGTGTGTGTGTGTATCACACCGTCTTTATCCATTCATCTATTGATAGACCCTTGGGTTGCTTCCATATTTTGGCTATAGTAAATAGTGATGCAATAAAAATAGCGGTACATGTATCTTCTCAAATTAGTGTTTTCACATTCTCAGGGTAAATACCCAGAATTACTATTTCTAAATTGCTAAGGAACCTCCGTATGTTTTCCACAGTGGCTGCACTAGTTTGAATTCCCACCAACAGTGGACGAGAAGGCAGTTTATACACATCTTTATGCTTTTGATTTTGCCCATTCTGACAAGTGGGAGGTGGTATCTCACTGTGCTCCTGATTTGCATTTCCCTGGTGATGAGTGATACTGACCAACCTTTGCATGAGTCTCTTGGCCATTTGTCTGTCTTCTATGGAGAAATGTCTGTTCATGTCTCCTGCCCATTTTAAATTAAATTAGCTGGGGTTTTTTGGTGTTGAGTTGACGACAGACCGTCTTCACAACTCAAATGCCTGTTGCACATCTCTAATTCTACCTTTCCCTCCAGTTCAAACCACTGCCATTTCTTCTCTAGAGTGCTACCAGCATCTCTGAACAGGCCCCCTTACCTACCTCACCACCTCTCATTCATTTCATGTTTCACAATGCTGCCAGAGTAACGTTGACAGCACACAGTGATCAAAGCTCTTCCAAGTCGGATACCTTTCAGTGACTTCCCAACGCCTTCATGACAATGCCTATGGCTCCTTATCATGGCTAGCAGACTTGTAAAGCCCATCACTATCAGGACTCTGCTCACTCTTGCATCCTAGTCTCAAGCCCTATTCAATTCCTGGCAGTGTCCATTAAATTACCTGAATTACGACAGCACTCCAGACCTCCCTGCATCATTTAACTTCAGCTTTGACCAGAGACCCCACATTCCTCCCACCCTCCCACCCACTCATCCTTCAGTTTCAGCTGAGGTGCCACTCCTGTGGCTCTTGACATCTCTCATCAAAAAACTGGGTTAAGGGACACCTGGGTCTTTCAGTGGGTTAAGCGTCTGCCTT